AATAAAATTCCGTTTTTACTATTCTAACAAACAGTTGGTTCCTCAGATTTAACAACAAAGTTTGTGTAAAAAATAGCATTTTCTTTATTATTTATTTATTCAGGAGAACTACGGGAGGAAGGAAGGCAAAAGTAAAAGGAACTAATACAATTCTCTCAACCTTGAGGTTTGTTCGCTATTTCATTCTTTACTTTTCCTATATATATATATATATATATATATATATATATATATATATATATATATATATGATTTTTTTATGGTATATTTTAGGGCGTGTTTGAAGATTACGAGAATAAGACTTACGAAAAGTTGGTAAAATCAATCGAAACTCACCCAAGCAAACCCGTACAAATCTTTCTTGGCAAAAAGATACAAAAGATAAAAATAGGAATAACCGATTCCATTCCAATGTAATGTTGTTTGTAGTTTCTACTTTCTAGTATCTTTGGCCTTTGTATACTTGCATTATGATTTCTGCACGTAATCCAAAATTGGAGTTGTTTACTTTGCGATACTGAAATCAACTAATGAGAATAATTACGCAATTACACTTTACAAACTAGTACAGATTAAAAAAAAAAAAAAAAAGAATCGATGCTGAAAGCTAGCATTGTCTTTGGCTTCTCCAGTTGCAATCACACCATTACCATACCATAAGCAAATCAAATAAATTTATTTTGACCACATTAAAACTATTTAAAAAAGAATTAGCAAACCTCAATCTCTCGTTGCTTTTTCTTCTCTAAAGCATTTTCAGCTTCTTCATGTCTTCATGTAATTCCTCTTTAACAGTTTTCCACTGCAACACTACTATAATTAATTCATAATACTATTCAAAAAATAAAGAATTAATGTCATTCAATAGTAATCAAATTTCACGTTTAGGGACATCTTTTAAAAAAAAACCGTTTTACCACTTATATGAAAAAGTAAAAAGCCAACTTGTTTTCCCTTTTTTTCTTTTTATCGTGTTAGTTAGACTACAGACTTGGCAATGACATGACAATGATTTGATAACTTATTTAAAATAACTTCCATAAATAGTAACCAACTTTCAGTTTTGTTCCACCAACCAACCTTAAATTTTATAAAAGACTAATCAAATAAAACTATAAATTCTTTAAATAAGGATAATGTAAAAAATATAATTATGCTTTTTTAATAAAAAAACAACATTCACATGGTTTTCTGCAAAATCTTTACTACTACTTAAAATTCTTAAATATAATATTACAATTAATAAAGAATGACATTTCTAGATCTTATATATTAAAAAAATAGGAAAAAAAAAGTTTTATATGTAAATGATACAAAATTTTATTTTTCTAGAATTATATTAACTAGTAAGATATATTTTACATTTAAATGTAACTAAATTTCCAACATCTCATATATTTTTATATAAAAAAACAAAAATACACATAAAAAATCAAAAAAATATAAATAATGTAAACGGGTGGTAAAATGAGATTGCAGATAAAGATGAGTTGGCATTTCAAGCTTATTATAAAAGAAAAAACAGTTTAAGGTTTCATAGAGATGTTTGAAGTTTGAAGAAAAATGGTAAAACCTCTTGTAAAAAAAAGTTTGAGGTAGCTACCTTTGCCTTTAGGTAAGAAGAAACCAGAAACTTGGTTACTAATTAGTGACATTAGAATATAGACCAAAAGTTTACCTTATCCACCAAGCCTGAAACTTTCTTATTGGATCTTAAACACAACCGTTTGTTTTTCATTTCGCACAACTGTAAAACTGAAAACAAAATCATCTACTTATTAAAACAAGACAGTAACCAGAAAAGTTAATATTGTTAGATGAAGGATTTGTCAAATACTTTTTAGCATCATATATACATAAACCGCTTGCTAGAAACTAGAAAGAAAATAAGAAAACACTACCTACCTTGTTACGCAATCATATAAAGTCAAACATCTGCAGCATTATAGGTGTTGAGGAAACTCTAGCCGCCTAAAAAAACAACAAGAATACATATCATTAGAGAAAAGGGAAAGGGAAAGGTAACTTATGTATGATAATCTTCTATAAAATAGATAAAAGGAATAACATAGCTCCAGTATAAGAATATTTTGCTCACCATGTCTTCAAAAAGCTCTTCTCATGGTTCCACTACCATAACACCAAGGTTTAAGTAGGTACAAAATTTCCACATTTGAACAAATCATCCATGTTTTTAGCCACAATTGAATGACATTCAATTAACAAAATACATATTCCTCGTGAAAGGTGTCAATTTAATATCTAACAACCATCCTCAAACAAGAAATCACACAGTCATAAAACCCAAAAGATTGGTATTTATAAAAATTGAAGTTACTCGAAAGTCATTTTGCATAATCCACAATGCATGCTAAAAGTATTATAAATACCTTAAAAAGGAATTAACATTGTGGGCATGTTGACCTTATTAAGCTATAAAGCATACACAAAAGCACAATAGAACAAATGTAATTATGTCCTATGTGTTCAACACAAGCAACACTTAGGTATCAGTATCATATAAAAACAATTCGCAAATACTTAAAACTTTAAAAAAAAAATGCATATTTAATATAGAGGCCTCAAAATCTCCATATGAAAGTGCAAATATATAACCACCAAAGAAATGCTCCATTATAATCAAGATGCCTTCAAGTTCCCTGCGGATGAACATCAAACATCATCAGAGATTCAAGTAAAAGCAATTACAGCTAAAAAGGTAATGAAGGTAGAGAGAGAAGATTAGATATAGACATGAAAAATATTTGTTGTTATGTAATACAATGTAGATACATACCACATCAATCATTCAATCATTCGTCAACCTCAGCTCTAATCTCCTTCTGAAGCTCCTCTTTATAATCCTCAAAACTCCCCTCAAACTTGTCCACAACCCCATTATCCACAACCCAAATCTCACTCTTCTCTTCATCATCACAAACCCTAGAAATCAACCTCGAGTCATGACTCACAAGAACAACCCCACCACTAAACTCATCAAGGGCATCCGCAAGTGCATCAATACTCTGCATATCCAAATGATTTGTGGGCTCATCAAGCAACAAAATATGGGGTTTTGACATTGAAATCGATGTAAAAACAACACGTGCTTTTTGTCCCCCTGACAATTTAGCAATTGGAGTCAAATGATTATGACTTGGCAACCCAAATTTACCAAGTTTAGCACGAACTGCTTCTTGCTTGCTAAACCCCTCTTGTTCTGGATGTAACCGGAGTAGATACTGAACCGGGGTTTCACCCATGGTCAACAAGTCAACAAAATGTTGCGAGTATCTCCCGATTCTTAGCTTCTGACTTCTCCTCACTTCCCCTTCAGTTGGATTCAAATCACCTGCAAGTAAGTTTAGTAAAGTTGACTTTCCAGCACCATTGGGGCCCACAATAGCGACACGTGTCCCCATATCAATCCCAACATCCACATCAGATAATCGAAAATCGTCTCTTTCCGGATAACTAAAACTAACATCAATTAGTTGTAACAATGGTGGAGTTAACTCGGTGGGTTCGGGAAAATGAAACTCGACTGTGTAATCTCTCCATTTTTGTGGGGCTTCTGGGATTTCTTCATCTTCATCAACTTTCCCTTTTGATTTCTTTTTCGCTTCTTTGACTGCAAATTTCGCCTTCTCTTTGACTTTCTCTTGTTGCTTTTGGTTCCCGGCTCTTTTAGCAGCTTTGACTTGTTTGTCATAAGTTTCAAATTTTTTATTCATTTCTTTGCGACGTTGTTCATACCCACTTTCAAAATCATCAAAGTTTCCACGATACATGTGGAGTTTTAAGTCATGGAGATGGATTATTTCATTACAGACAGTGTTTAAGAAGTCTCTATCGTGTGAAACAACAACTAAAGTTTTCTTCCATCTGCATAAGTATTCTTCCAGCCAAAGAACAGCTCTCAGGTCAAGATGATTTGTGGGTTCATCTAGTAGTAACAAAGTAGGTTGCACAAAAAGGGCACGAGCCAATGAGATTCGCATACGCCACCCACCACTGAAAGATCTTGTGGCACGAATTTGCATAGTTTTTGTGAACCCTAATCCAGCAAGAATCTTGGAAGCTTGTGCTTCAGCAGCATCTGAACCCATTATCTGTAACTTTTCGTATAATTCAGCAAGTTTTTCTCCAGCATCGTCATCAACTTCATTTCCATTTTCGCCCTCGGGTGATTCCAACAATGTGGCGACTTCTTGTCTTAGCTTAACAAGCTCCTCATTTGCTGCAACTACAGCTTGAAGGGCAGTTTTGTCATCACCAACTATTTCTTGTTCCACTAAAAGAACATCTATGTTCTTGGGAACAGGAATCTTTCTCCAAGCTAGAAGCTTTAAGAGGGTTGACTTTCCCTTTCCGTTGGGTCCAACTAACCCATATCTCTTTCCATGAGAGATTTTCACAGATGCATTTTTCATCAACTCTTTCCCTCGTGCAGAAACTGAGAAATTATCCACTGTTATGTCTTTTACATTCGCATCTGCATCATCTTGACCATCAAGAACTGAAGCCCTACTACCTATCACCACTGTGAATGCATCATGGTCATCTTTTAAAGCTTCTTGTTTGGCTTGTTCAATTACTTGGGCATGAATCATATCCTTCTTTTCTCGTTTCTTTAAATCTTTCTCGGTTATTGATACTTCAAGATTCCTGTCATTAGCCCTTTCTTTCCTGCTGGGCTTTTTGGGTCCTCCTTTTTGAACTTCTTCTCCGGATTCATACTCTGCGTCATCATCTTCTTCATCATCTGAAGGAGGGAGATCAATGTCTGCATAGGACTGTAATTTTGAAGGTGCTTTGGTTTTGGGATGACGGGTGGTGGAGCTTGAGGAAGTTACTTTCTTTGCTTTATCAGGTTTCTGGTCCATGCTGGCAAGCATGGCTGACACTGATAGCTTCTCTTTCTTTCCTTCTTTGGTGCTTTGCTTACCCTTCTCTCCACCCTCATCTGTTTTTTTCTTTCCCATTGGATTAATAAACTTTCACGAATCTGTATGCAAGGTGGAAAAACTCAAATTAGACCAACCTCGAGACTACTAACTCATTTCTAATTTCTTATTCGATTCAATAACAAGCGGCCAAAAATCAGATACGGCCAAACAAAATTTTCATATACTTAAGTATAGATTCTGAAGCAGGCAAATTTTCATATGATTCTGAAGTGGGCACTATTTCAAAAATTCTGGAGAACAATCAGTTACAACTAACCTAAAAAAATTGAGGGACCGGAATCAGTGGAGGGATGGATGCGTTGATTCGGGGACTGGAAAGCTGGAGGCGTCGAATCAGTGGATGGCTGATTGTCGGACAGTCGGAGAAAGAGGCGTCGAATCAGTGGAGGGCTGGAGGCGTCGTTGCGTCGTGCCGTCGGACCGTCGGATAGATATGGCGAGATGTATGATTGCCGGCTGAGTAAACAAGAGAAATGGAAGTATGGAATGGAACCCTAAGTTTCTAGACAAGAATTTAGACACGGCAAGAAGGTCGGAAACCCTAACCAGAGAGGGGAAAGAGGGTATCCATTCCTTAATAAATACGCAAACTACACCTCGGATGTTAAAGTGATATTTTTTTTAACTCGCTTCAATTTGTAGTTCACATAATTTCTAAGTAAGAATATCCAGAGGTCGATTTATACCATAAAAAAAATATTGTGACGTTTTTTTTTTCCTTAATGACAATTTTTTATTTATTTTTCTTATGTATCATAATGAACAATTATATTGATTATAATCAAAAAATTAAAATTAAAAATAAAATTAAAATTAAAAATTAAAAAAAAAGGGAAGAAGAAGGGTCAAAATAGGTTTTTCAACAAAGAAAATGATTTTTCTTCATCTTTTTCGCTAAGTATTTCTAAATACAAATCTTCTTGATTCTCATACATATAAGAAACCGGTGTATTGTTTTTAAGTGAGCACGGATACCGGGTATTCGATTTTATAATCGGAATCATCTCGGAATTGTCAGTTATGTAACTATGTAATTGTAACGGGAACCGGAACCGTTACGGTTCCTAAAAGTAGAAACCACCAAGGATCAGTTTCGGTTTTGGTTTCTATTTTTTAGGAACCGTTACCCGTCGGGTACCTCCGGAACCGGTTCCGAAATATTAAAATTTAAAAATACTTAATACTTAAACGAATTGGCCGTAACAACGTTGATGACTAAGACATTTTGTTGGGACTATCTAATAGGATTTTAGAGGTAAAATGCTAATAAGTCATATTTGCAACTTTTTTTCAAAACAAATGGTATTATGTGAATGTGAATGTGAACGCGAACACATGACCGTAAAACAATTTGAACATACATGATGATAATATCTTTTGAAAAGATTTAATGTTAAATAACATTAAGGAAGTGTTGATGGTAAAGAACATGAACTTTGGTTTATGACTTATATTTAACAATCTGGATTATCATTTAAAACGATTATTTTTTGTCGTTTGTAACTTGTATCGTAATGAACCAGTTATAGTATTTATTTTTTGTTACAATGGCTAAGAATTATTTTGTATTAATGAAATCAAGTTCGATGTAGCATCTGACTTAAAACAGAAGATTAAAATAAAAAGCGATCAGTAGAGGTATCGCGAAAAGTTTCTTGTAGCTAGAAATGCTACCTTTTAAGATGAGATTAGAACATGAAGGAAAGTATAGTCTGTTCTGGAAGACTCTAAGAGACCTGAGTCTAAGCATTGCAGCATATGATGATAGGTCATTGGAATATGACACATCGTTCCATTTTAGTAATAAAATAACTTATCTTAGGTTTGTTAAGAAAAAGAAGCAGTCTCCAGTAAGGATCGAGATTGTGACTTGAAGGTCATAATTTGGAGTCTAACGTGAGATAGGGAGCAAGTGCAAGATCGAGCACCGCCTGCAATCAGGGAAGTCTTAGAGTTAGATATTCGTTCGAAGAAACATCAAAGTTACGGTTATTACTTAGGATGAATAGATAATGTATGGAGTCATCATGTGAGACCTGTTTCGTTGATGATTCCGGGACGTAATCATCCTAAGGAGGAGATAATTGTAATGCCCGTAGATCCGGGCTAGTCAATTTAGAGATGATAGGGGTCGAAAACGACTTTTTGACAAAAGATTATTTAGAATAAATAATCTTAACCAAGTTGTAGAATACGTCTCAAGGGTTCCGTACATATAAAGAACGTTGAAATCCGAGTTATAACGAAGAAGTTATGGTACATCGAAGTTTTATGGCAAAACCGGCACGACACCGGGAGACGTAAATAGTGAATTTACGATGGAGGACTTTTTAGCCTTAGAAATATACACAAAAGTTGTAGTATACGTTAAACTGAGAATATACAAAAAAAGAACGCCCAAATCTGACTTCGTATGAGGAAGTTATGAATTTTCTAAGATTTGGCTTAACAGTGCACAGCCTGAAACTCGAATTTTAGATCGAGCGGTTTTTGGCCTACGCGACCTAAATGAGAATTGAAGATCTCATTAATAGGAACTCAACGGTAAAAAGACAGACCAAAACAGAGTCCGTATGTAGAAGTTATGAATTTGACGCGGACATTTAACAGTATAATCTCCTCGTACTGTTAAATTTAAGATCGGTCGAGAATTAGCCGATAAAGTCAAAATGAAAGTTGTAGATCTTATTTTTACCTACGCGTGGATATAAATAACGTCAAAAACGGAGGTCGTATGTGAAAGTTAGGGATTTTAGAAGTCGGAAGTGTGTTGTGCGAAAATGGGTGATGTGGCAAAATCTTGGTCATTGCTTTCTCCCCGAGTCTTGCCACTAGATGGTGACATGTGGCACTAAGTTCAGTCATTTTCACCCTATAAATAGAACCTCTCCCACCCTCATTTTCTTCACACATTTCCCATTCTTTCTTCTCTTTACTCTCTCTCTAGAACCTCTCTCTAGCCCTGAACCCCCCGAAAAGCCTAGGGAACCTCCCTAGCACGAGGCGGAAGCCCCGGAGTGCTCGACGGCTCCGAGAAGAAGAGCTTTTCGGCTCGGGAACGCTGCTCCAACCAAAGCCCGGTTTTCTATAAAACCCGATGTAAATGAGCTACACCTACGCTATTTTTAATATAGCTTTTATTTAATTATAGTAACGTTATTAGGAACTTATAATAAGTACTTGGGCTATTATTATGGGTTATATAAGTATTGTTTAACGCTTATATAATAGTAATAATAGCTAGACTATTAATTAGTCTCGGCGAATAATAGACTAAACTCTAGTGGTAATAATACTAGGTTTCGTCGAAGAAAATTATTTTTTTAAGATGCGAAGCGCTGTCTGAGTTCGGAATCACCACCTTATCAAATGAGTGCATAGTTACTTTCATCTTACACATAGATATGAAGTATTTTATATAAATTATGTGCTATGTGTGCATATTATCTGTATACTTGCTATCTATGTTGGATGAACGATGTTATACATGTTTTAAATGATTTAAACTGTATATGTATTTTATATCTACAAAATGTGTTGGGTAAAACATGGGTAGATGTAATAGTTGTTGTGTAATAAAATAAAATAATGAGAGACCTCGATGTTATTGCTGATCTAGTCATCTAGCGGAGTATAGATGACGACCAGACTATTCTAGACAGTCTAGTGGAACACTAGCAGACTCGTAACTTGTAGGTGTTTTTGAACTACATATTCACTAGGTATTATTGAACTAAGTGTTCACCATATGTTTTGAACTAAGTGTTCACCAGATGTTTTGAACTACATGTTCACCAGATGTTTTGAACTGCGTGTCCACCAGATGTACCCTGTTGTATAAACCTTGGCGACTATACGACTTAGTGTCTGTTGTATAAACCCTGACGACTATGCGACTTAGTGCCTGTTGAATAAACCCTGAAAACGATGGATTTCATGCCGATTCCTTAGGATGATCCTTAGGAATTAATGAACGAGGAATAGTTGAATCTTAGGGTAGATCCTTAAGAGTAAAGAAGATAATGGGGATGGGTAATTGGATTGATTGTTTGATGTTTAAACATAATAATTATATTATTGTGGGTTGAAAACCCTATGTACTCACCACGTTTCCCAACCTGACCCACTCAAGCTTATTTGTATCACAGGTGTCAATATGAAGCTACTTTACACTGAGAGATTTAAAAGAGATGTAGATCACTAGTGTAAATGAATGTAAGTTCTGTTTATGCTTATGTTTCTGTATTGACGATGACATCCCAAATGTTTTAAAATGAATAAAAATACATTTCTTCGGAAATGCTTTGATAATGTATTTATCATGTTTTATTGGGAACTAATTCCGCAACATTTTTATTAAAAGAAGTACTCTGATTTTTATAAAGCATAAACAAAATCGGTCTTTTCTGACCGTGAAAATGGGGATGTCACAGTCCCGGAACAGAAACCGCCGGTTTCGGGACTGGTTCCAAAAATTTAAGAACTGTTTAGACCGGTTCTGATTCCAGTTCTAACTTCACAGGAACCTCCGGTTCCGTTTTCGGTTCCGACGAAATGAGGCGGATACCCGCCTATACTCATCCTAAATTTATACTATCACTTAAACTGATGGTTATATGGTTTAAACGTTGTGTAAGATGTTGAATTGGCATCCCTACACACCGTTGAGCTGCTTGGAACATACCCCCAGCTACGTTGTGTGGCAAGATATGGAGGACTCGACACAAAGCAACGCAATTCCATTGATTCAAACGACCGTTCAACGGTCAATTATTCAAAAAAAAAATGCTTCTATAAATACCACTTAATTTTTTTTACATACCATTACCGTTTTACTATCTTTTTATACAAATTTTCAACATATTTTTATTATGGATCTGTTTGACTAGTCATCCGGTTATGATGATATGTTCATCACCATGATGGACGAGTATTATACTAATGAACTACAAGAAGAAAATGAAGTCATGCATTCTACGAACATGAAGCGTAATGTTAAACAGAAATCGTACGGAAGCACACGAACGCCTATATCTCGATTACTTTGCGGATAATTGTGTATACAGATAAAAGGATTTCAAAACCAATGTTTCGTTTGAGTAGGAATGTGTTTGTAGGGATAGTTAACGCCTTAGAAAACAGGTATCATCTTTTTTCTTATTTATATTATTAAATATAGTTTTATACATAATAAATACATATTTTACCTGTTAAATATATCTTTAGGTATCATTTTTTTTCAACTGAGATATGCTGCTAAAGGTAGTCGGGGATCTACACCAATGTAGAAATGTGTTGCAGAAATGTGGTTGAAGGATTATGGGGAGTCACCTGACTCCGTTGACGATTATCTGGAAATGACTGAAAGAACTTAAGAGAAAGTTTGTATATATTGTCAACAAAACCGATCCAAGACAAATTTAAGGTCCATGGCAAAAGAAAAAAATGGGGCCTCCATCATAGTAAAGCTGAGTAACTTCTTCTAACGATGACAACTCCCCTGGGTATGGGGTTCCAAGGGGCAGAGCCCCTGGCGGGTAAGGTTCCAGCCATGAATTTCCTGCCAAAACCAAGTGGTGACATCACTGTTGTTGGAATTGGTTATGTCTTATAACCATATGTTCAACCACCTTTTTGGCGCCAAAAACTGCATGTAACTGTAACACCCGTAAAATTCAAGCCAATTTAAAACTTTTTAAACAATTCAAAACCCATTAGTCATTACAAAATGTTTTCAAAATAGTTTAATATCAGAGTATCCCAGAAACATAGTCATAAAAGTGAGGAGCTGTATGATCACGCCTTTGCCTTGCCACGATCCCCTGATGCACCTGAAACAATAAACTGAAACTGTAAGCCCGAAAGCTTAGTGAGTTACCCCCAAAATACCGATACACATACAGTCCACGTAACAATATCAGTAATATTATAACATAACAAACTGAACAGCATGAAATGGATCCACAACTTTACAAGCTGGATTACCCATGGGCCCTCAGTACGAGTCTGGAATGCCTACCGGGCCCTCAGCTCGTATCTGGAATGCCATCGAGCCCTCAGTACGAGTCTCCCTCAGCTCGTATCTGGAATGCTCCACCTACTAGATTACCACTGGGCCCACAGTGTGAGTCTGGATTGCCTTCCGGGCCCACAGCTCACATCTGGATTGCCATCGAGCCCACAGTACGAGTCTCCCCTTAGCCCGTATCTGGAATGCTCCCAGGTTTGTTGGTTACCGCACGGAGCAGTATCACCTCAACCCATACCACATAACATATCGACATATAACATAACTACTGAGCATGCAATAATCATATAACATCACATGTAGTCCTACAGATCTACCTAACTGGCATAACCACTAGCATGCAACACTAACTCATACTCAACATCTAACACTGCTAGGATAACATATCCAATGGGCCGGCCTTGGTGCCTTAGACCCCTTAGTATAGTGAGGATAACTCACTTGGCACTGCTGAAGTCCCGCAGATAAAACTCCAGTTGCTGGTTGACAGATTCCCGAACTGTCAACATCAAACAATACCCAATTAATAATTGGGTTCCAAGCCCAAGGTCCAACTCACACTACAAAAGCCCAAAAGTCAAATCATGGGCCAAAGCCCAACATATGGCCCAATTTTCCAAATTGGGCCCAGACCTCTACATGGTCTTTCCTTAAGGCCCATCCAATTATTCCAATCCAATTCCCATGGCCCATTATCACATAATCATAAAGGCCCACTTATGGCCCATCTATGGCCCAATTTTCCAAATTGGGCCCAAGTCCTCACATGGGCCTTATCCTAAAGCCCATCTAATTACTTTGGTCCATTAACTTGTTCTTGGATGGCCCATCAATAGTCCAATCGCCAAAGCCCAATAGGAAGGCCCAATTCAAGGTCCAAGTGAAACTAGGGTTTCACATAAAATGATAATTAGGGTTAAGTGTTTCTTACTTAACCCATTAAGGACTTAATCCATTAAGTCATAAATCATATGGTGTAGTTGGGCTTAATACACAATCCAATCCCCCACGGCCCAAAAGTGGGTCCAAATAAGTCTAAGGTCCAAATACTCACAATTAGGGTGTTCTAAACCCTAATTAGGGGTTTTCACCCAAACATGGCCCAATAGGCCCAAAACTAATCCTTAAGCCCATTAGGGTTTCATTAAATCAATTAGGGTTTGCTGGTGGGGCACCACCCACTACCACCTCGGGTAGTGGTGGTCAATGGCTGCTCACGGCGGCGAACACCGCCTTACGGTGGTGGTTATTATTATTTTTCCATTATTCAATGCTAATTACAGTTACAAGGCTTTTAATCCAAAAATAAACACACACACACATACTAACTACTCTATCACACACACACTGTTAGTCAATGTTGACCAAGTAATCAGGAGAATAAAAGGGCACGTGGGAGTGTTGCCCAGTAAAAGATCCGTTGCTATTTTTTTGTTTTCAGTTGTATTTAGCCTATTTAAAGTTTCATTGTTTTAGCTTTTAAGAAGTAGTAACCTTTTCCAGTTTCATTCATTCAATAAAGGCAATCATTAGGCTATCTTTACTCTGTCATATTTTCTCTTATTCTTGCTTGATCACCAACAATTGGTATCAGAGCTTCAAGGTTCTGATTAGAGTGTATGCCCAAAAACATCAGATACAATACCATGACAATAGCATCATCATCCAATCCACCCAAAGACAGTATGTTTCCCCTACAATGCCCGATGCTAACCTCGCTCAATTATAATACATGGTCGATTAAGATGGAAGCTATTATGGATGCCCATGGGTTATGGGATGTCATTGAGCCACAAACCGGAGTGGTTGTGGATAAGAAGAAGAGCAAGCAGGATCGAGCCTTCATCTTCCAATCGATTCCAGAAGAGATGCTTGCGCAGGCTGCCAAGAAGAAGACGACTAGAGAAGTGTGGGACTCTCTAAAGTCACGGTATGTGGGTGCAGAAAGAGTCCAGAAAGCAAGGCTGAGGGTATTGAAAAGTGAGTTTGAAGGACTCCAAATGAAAGATACAGAAACAATAGATGATTATGCAGGAAGAATATCATCCATGATCTCAAAACACAGCAGTGCAGGAGCAACACTAAATGATGAAGAACTGGTGAGAAAGTTGTTTGACACTGTCCCTGAAAGGCTCATAAACTTGTTGGCATCGATTGAACAAAGTTTAGACATGGAATCCATGCCATTTGAAGAGGCAATTGGGCATCTAAAGGCATATGAAGACCGACTTCGACTCCGGAAGACAAGCACACAAGCAGATAATGCCTTGTTACTTGCCAAGACGGAAGGTTCCTCTACCCATCAAAGTCCAAGCAAGTCAAACACGACGGGTGGTCGTGGAAGAGGAAGAAATAGTGACAGGGGAGGAAGAGGCAACTCACGTGGTCGGGGTTCGACGCGTGGCAGAGGTGGACGCTGGGGTGGTAGTTCACGACAAGAAACTGGGAATTCCAACCGGAAGCCTCGTGACAAAAGTCACATACTGTGTTTTGAGTGTCAAGAATTTGGCCACTTTGCTTCTGAGTGCAAAGCAAAGAAGCAACAGGAACAGGAGGCGAATTTAGTTGCAGACGAAGATGGACCTGCACTTCTGTTGACCGTACATGGGGAAGAGACTACAAGCATGGTTCTTCTGAATGAAGAAAAGGTGTACCCGAACCGGCTAAGAGACAACAATGATGATAATATGTGGTATCTGGATAATGAGGCTAGTAACCACATGACCGGTTCAAAGGGCTTATTTGCAGAACTTGATGAAAAAGTGACTGGACAGGTACGATTTGGAGATGGTTCTAAAGTTCTAATTAAAGGGAAAGGTACATTATTATTTGATTGTAAAAGTGGTGATCAGTTCATCATCCCAGATGTGTATAATATTCCAGCCCTACATAGCAATATAATAAGTTTGGGACAGATGACTGAGGAAGGATATGACATAGGAATGAAGAGAGATTTCTTAAAAATGTATGATGCAGATGGTTGCTTGATTATGAAGGTCCAAAGGTCAAAGAATAGACTTTATAGAATAAGGCTCACACCTGGGAAACCTGTATGCTTAGCTATGAGTATTGATGATGACTCATGGCTATGACATGCACGTATGGGTCACACAAATTTCAAAATGCTTGGGGAGATGACACGAAAGGAAATGGTAACAGGTATGCCTCGATTATCTCATCCATCACAGGTGTGTGAAGGATGTATGTTAGCTAAACAGGCAAGGATAAGCTTCCCAAGAGTGGCCCAGTGGAGAGCCAAAGAACCACTCCAGTTGCTACACGCAGACTTGTGCGGTCCCATTACACCAGCAACAAAGGGAGGTAACCAATACTTCCTACTAATAGTCGATGACTATTCACGATACATGTGGGTGTATATGATTAAAGCAAAGGATGAGGCTTTTAATATGTTCCAGAATTTTAAGTTATAGGTGGAGAAGGAAAGCAATTTTAGAATCAAGATGTTAAGGACTGATCGTGGGGGTGAATTCAACTCCATTCAGTTCCTGGAATTTTGTGAAAGTGCAGGGATAAAACGCCAATTGACGACGCCACACACGCCACAGCAAAACGGCGTTGTGGAACGCCGTAACAGGACGATCTTGGAGATGACAAGATCGTTGCTCAAGGCCATGGCGATACCGGACCAATTCTGGGGAGAGGCGGTGCGACACTCTGTTTATTTGTTGAACAGAACTGGCACAAAGGCCTTAAA